TTTTTTTTTATTTTTAATGTCATTGCCAAAACAAACGTATGTCTATTTTTTTCCTGTTAGAAACTATTAGACATACTGTCATGTCTTGTAAGGGAGAGATGTCATGTTTTCCTGTATTCCTTAAAATATAATCTCAAGCCAAAGAAAATAACAGTGTTTTTTTCTACCTGCTCAAATAATGAAACATTATCCTACATACCTGATGCCCCAACCACCTATGTGGATTCTCATAGCCTTAAAGTGGTACCATTACTCTAAATACCATATCTGTGGTGGCAGATCTATGCTAACAAATATTGTGGGACATATTCTGTGAATTCATTGTATATAAAAAGGAGAAAAATAGATTATAATATTAAATAATGAATTAAAAAGGGAGGAAAAATTAAAACATTATAGATCCCTGTCCCTATTTTGTCTGGAACAGAAAGCAGATGATTTTTCCATCCTGACATATTCTGACACTATATATATAATAGGACCAAAGAAATCTGTTGCTCAGTGAACTATTTTATACAGTTTTATTTTGACCTTTTATATAAACTATACTAGTCACCAAAGTCATTTTGGTCTGCATTTACAGCAGTTATATTATTACAATGAAATAACTACATCAAGATTTTTAACTATAGATGCCTAAAATTAGGTTCCTTTTTCTTTATTCAGATGCCTAAATAAGTGGCCTGATTTTTAGAAGTGTAGAGCAGCAAGCATCTCCTGTTGAAGTTACAATAACTACATTATATTATTATACCATTGGAAGTCCACATGGTACATCTTATTAATGTCACCTCATTCCCTGATAATAGTGTAAATGACCCACATTACCAGCTTATCAGGATTATAGTTGTAATGAGACATCTTTGCTCAGCATCTGTGGTACAAACTATATTGGATGTGATGCTAAGCTAAAACTTCACTACAGCTGAATGTCACTTTAGTAGGACAAATAAGACTTTTCTTCGCCCCACTAGAATTTGGATGCTTTACAGGTAAGTTGTGGTACTGGTATGCACAGCTAAGAAATGGAAACAAGTTCACATGAGCTTATTGACCAGAATTCTCTGCCAGCATGATTTATAGCTTTAGTATTGAACTCTATAGATCATCTAAATTTCTGTAACTGTGCAGTTCAAAGTTTTGCAGGTCTCTTGTGGGAAAAAATGTAAGACATAACCCCTTAGGTCTGTACAGCAGAGACACGGATATGTTTCTCATTAAGACAAATGACCCTGGGATACAAATGAAAATGAGATGTAACTGCTCATCTCAAGAGGTTATCCCATTGCCTACAATGTGAAACAGAATTTAAAAGTTCCATTTTATTAAAAATAACATAGTTATTTATATAAAAATATTTATTATATAAATATATAATATTTATATATAATATATTTATATAATATAAATATATAAATTAAATATATAAATATTATATAAAATATAGTTATTTATTAAAAATAACATAGGTGTACATAGTTAAAATAATTTATATCTGATCCAAAACAACTCATTTATTAAATAAAATTAGCTCATTTAGAAAAGTAACAGCTCAATCCCATGAAGATATGGTCTGGAGATAAGGGAAAGTGCCCAGGCTAGGGTAGCAACCAAAGCCTGAGGCCTAGGAGACTGACCACTCCAGTCCCTGAAGCAGTCCAAAAACAAGAAGATATCGAAGGGACAGAGAGCCGTCTTAGCTCACACTGCTTGTATGCTGGAATTCCTTTGCTGAGTCTCTAACAGCCACAGCAGCAGAGAATCTTGTTCTGGAAATTTCAACAGAGCTAAGAGTGTTGGGCCCTCAACACCGACTGAAAGTGAAGGAGACTTGGTTGCATTTTGTGCCTTTGAAAATCTCCCACTTGACAGATATACCAACAATTATAAATAAAATGTCTGTGTGTTTGAACCATGTAATCAAACCGAACCTTGTTAAGGCTAACTTCACGCCACTTCTCAAGTCAAAGTCATCATTTGTGGCTGATGTATTCTAAAACATATTAAGCTTAAACTGTGTCTTTTGTAAATTAATACTTTGTTCTTCAGTTTAAGAATTTCTCAATACTTGTGTAAAATACACTTATATTTTCTTACTTTGGGCCTCAATCCAGAAAATAACTACGTGTGTAACTTTAAACATGACTAATCCCCTTCAAATCAATGGCACAACTCATGTGCTTACATTTACACAAATGCTTAAATTAAATTAGGATCATACTGACATATTTTAAATTAAAGCTAAAGCACCAGTCAATAAATATGGGGTAGACAATATGATTATGATCTTGGAAGTCACAAAGTCCCGTATATTAAAAAACTTCTCCATTCTTTTATTTTTGCAGAGACATACTTTAAAATATTCAAGGAAATTAATCCAATAATCTAAATGCAAATTAGAAAACCTGCATGTTGAAAACTAGTTTTTATTTCAGTTGCTGTTAGAATACATGTACCTTTATTAATCTGCTATTTTGTTTTCATTGATGATGTAATTAGTCATTTGAAAACAATAGCATATTCTTTGTAGGTTTTATATTAGTTATTATTTAGTAATAAATCAAGGGCATAATCCTACAAATATTTAGTTATGGGCATAAATAGTTACAGAGGGATTATGAAATTATTTTTTCACATGTAGAAATCACATCACTTTAGCTTAATTTGTTTGTAGGGCTGATTTTATGGAAGTGGGACAAAATGGAGCGATAAGTCCATATGCCACACATTTGGTCAAGAGGAAAAAACCACTGGAGCTGATTTTTTCCACTCCTTCCTTGCTGATGGTTCTGGTCCAGAGGTTCAAGCCTCTTCCAACTCTGGCGTTGAAACTGCCAAACAGAATAAGCCTGCCTCACCCTGCCAATTTGAGACAAAAAGTCACAAGGCACTCATTCATTCCTCCAGGCAACTCACTGAGTCAGTTTCTGAGCTCATTGTTAATGGCAAAGCCAGTTTCATGAAGTTGGTGTTTTCCTTCCGTTCATCCTTCCATAAGAGGGTATAGCCGCCTCCTTGTTCTCTGAGCTGCCCATCTCCTGCTCACCAGGTCTTGCTCAATGCAGCAGTATCAAAGTTGTCACCTGAGCTCCTGGGTCATGATTGCAGTGTGGTGATCTGGGCATTCGCTATTAGGATTGTTCATGAGGGTCCTAATCTGCCAGGCCCTGAAACTGATTGTGTGTCTTTGTTGGTTTCAATAACAATACAGGTGGTCCCATTGGGACCACAGTTATCCAGTCAGGAAAAAGCTTTGTTTAAGGCACCTTTTCTAGCTCCCTCCCCATGAAGAGAGCTCCTCAGTTGCAATTACAGTTGCCGAAGAGCACTCCTGATTCATCCAAGTTCTAGATAACCTTCTTGTAATTGTTGCCTTCATGCCAGGAGTTTCCAGGCTAGGAGCTTCCAGGCCAACCAATCCTGCTTCCATCATCACTAGCTGGTTGGAAAATGTGGTAAAGCTGTTTTCATGAAAGACACCTGTGCATGATTTCTTTAATGGTGGAGAAGCAGTTGCACATCAGCTTCCACATGGTTCTTGACAGAATGGGACTGTAATTCAATGGCAAGAAAGCCAAGACAACTGAAGATCTTGTTCTGCTGCAGCCTTCATCTGCCTTTGCAGCCATTGAGATTCTAGCATCTTCTTCCATTTGTTCTGCCATTGAGGACTTGTAGACCCATGGCTGGGGGATGGACAGGCTTCTTATAGTGGTCACCTGTACTCACCATGTCACAGCACTGCCAGAGGATATATGTCACTTTTCAGGAGGAAAGCATTGCCATCTGATGTCTGATCCACATCCTGGTGGTAATGCTGGTGGTTAGTCTGTGACTGCTTATTCAGCAGAGTTACCTCTACTTATTTCCCAGCTAACCTTCCCTGAAGGTAATTCCACTATCCACCGCCTGCAGACATGCTGGGTAGCAGCACAGCTCTGTCATCAGATCTGTACAATACTATGGTAATTTTTCTCATGTGCTCTTGTCCTAAGCCCCTGATATAGAGAGGTCTTCAAAGGCAGATCCTTGCACTTGTATGTAGCTGCACTGAAGTCAGCAAGACTCCACATAAAAGTATAGTTTTAGAATCTGTCCACACACATATTCTAGGCTTAGAGCACAGCTTGGCAATTAGATACAATGTATCAATAAGAAAAATATGAGATCAAATCATTTTCTAAATTTGATGCGTTTCTTCATGAATTCGTGACTTAAGGAAAATTCTGCTCCTCCCCATCTTCTCCCACCCTCTCCCCCTACCTGAGAAAATTCCTTTTGTGTCTGCTTGGCCCTAATCAAACAACATGAATTCTTCTCCGGTTGGCTTGACTTGAAAACATGGAATGCTCTAATGGCTAGATACTCCATTCTATTTTCTTATCTCCTCCTAATAGTATCAAACTCTAGCTACAGTCCTGAACTTAAAAGATTTACATGCAAGTCTCAATTTCTGTACAGTTTTGCACATTGCAAAAATGGCCGTTTTATAGAAATTCAATGTTTAAAATAAAAAAAAAACAGCTAAAATTATTTGACCCAATAATGCTCCTTTTCAAGTCACTATCAGACTTTTCATGATTTCAATGGGAGACTGCATACCCAGTACCCTGAAGCACCCTTTAAAAGCTCCAATAAAGGAAGCCCTTTTTTATTGTGCCTGATTAATTCTATCTGCATTATTCCCTAAGTAGCAGTATATTGCAAACGGGTTTTTTTTGTTTCAATTCCTTTTTCTCCATACAGTTTTATTGCTCTTAATCTATTCCCTTTTCTCCATCTTTGACAATCAGCTTCAATGTCCTCTTAGGGTAGCAAACAAATATGCAAAGAAGGCAGAAAACAAACATTGAGATGTAGTTTGCTGTTTTTGTCTGAAGTCAAGCAGAAAGCAGGGTAGATTTGCACCTTATAGACTAACTAGATTTAGTTAGGCTATAAAGGTACATACAAGCATTACATTTAGATCAACCTAGTCTAGGTTGATTTAAATGTCTACACATGCAGGCATTCACAGGGCTTAAATAGCCCAGAAAATAGCATACTGGATCTGGAGGATGGTTGTTATAGCATCTAAGGTGCCCCAACAGTCACAGTGGCCTCAGGACTGACTTGACTTGATTTGATCTAAGTTCACCTAAGGAAGTGAACTAACTTTAGAACAACCTGGGTTAACCTAAGCTACAATGGAAATGCCTACAGGCATTCATAGCACAGCCCCAGGGCTAGGAAAGCCCAGCCACTTGCTAGAGCCCTCAGTTTCTGCTGCTCTTATCTGCCCAACCTTGACTGGGCTACTTTTAGCTCTGACTACACCCCCCTGAACTGGAAAATCCCTTTCCCACAGACCCACCAATCCCCTCCTCCCTCGCAGATATGCCAGCCCCACTTGGACCTTCCAATCCACTCACCCCAATCCTACCAGACTCTCCCTCACCAAATGACTTATTCACAGTAAATGCTTGCACATGCAAGAAACCCCACAACCCCAGGAACTGGCACAGGAAGCCAAAAACAAGGTTCCCGATTTTATACAGAAAATGGCTCGGGTTAGGGTCACAAACCAACAAGCTAGGGAAAAATAAACGCAAGTAGGTTAACACTAAGGTACACACTAACATTAAATTACATACACTTAGAAGCTGAATAACAGATAATAAGCAGTAACATTGTGATGTTCACTCAAGAACAAGTAACTCATAACACACAGTAGTTCTGAAATACAGACACTCCATGAACCCTGTACTCACCCACAACTCCAGAGGTGTCCCAAACCAGCCTCTAGTCCTAAGAGTACTCAATTGCTGTCCACACGTCCATGTCCTGTCCAACACCCCTGGCTTTGTCACTCATCTGGAGTCTCTTGCCATGTTTCCCCTCTCCTGCTGCATCTGAGCTCTGCTGCTGCTTCCCGTGTTCTGCTCCTGCTTCCTCTGTCTTTTGTCTGCCATCCCTCAGGGTCTCTAAGAGTTGTAGTTACATGCAGTTAGCACATTTTGGCAGTTTAAATTCAGTTATCAAGGCTATTCCCTCTGCTGTGGCACATCTACATTATGGCATGTTACATTTAGCTTACACAGAGTGCATCCAGATGAGACCGCACATGCATCGTGCAGCATCTCAAACCCCTTTGAGATGCTGCAAGAAGCACATGCAGGAATGAGAAAATGTTTCCCACACTGCAAGTTTGCAGCACGGGGGCAAAATTAGACCCCTAGATATGCAGGGGACAAAAAAACCCGCACTGAAAAGAAGCGAGGCAGGCAACCAGAGGCTGGGTCTTCCATAGAGACACTCTAGCTGCCAGAGCATCTCTATGGTTTGCCCTCGCCCTGGTGCTGAAGCACACTGCTTGCCCATGAAGGCAGGCAGCATGCCAGAAGCAGGGAGCTGGACCCAGGCTCCACTGCTGCTAAGTAAGGGGTCAAGGAGCTGGAGAAGTGGGGAGGGGTCCATGGTGGGGACCTCCACCAGCCCCACCCTCTCACCCAGCCTCCTAATCCCTTCCCTGCCTGGCCCCACCCCCTGCCTGCACCCTGAGCTCCCCCAATCCCTTCCCCACCTAGCCCTATCTGCCCCAGCCACCCAAAACCTTCCATGCCCAGCCCCAATGCCCCCTTTCCCCCAATCCCTTTCTCTGCCCAGCCCCATCTCCCCCAGCCCTCCCAATCCCTTCCCTGCCTGGGTCCAGCCCCTTGAGCTTCCCAATCCCTTCCCCACCTGGCCTCATCTCCCTCAGCCCCCCAATCCCTTCCACCCAGGATGATCCCCCCAGCCCCCTGAGCCCTGCTGATCCCTGCCTCCCTGTCCCAGCATTGGGAGGAAAAACAAACTAAGTAGAAAGACTATCTGTCTAGATAGGCTAGATAGACACCTTGCTGGGGTCATCTGACCCCAGCATTCTTTCCTGCCTGTAGCAGGGGGTCAGACTTGATGATCTGCTCAGGTCCCTTCTGACCCTACCAACTATGAAACTATGAAACAAATAAACAAAAAAAATCCCGGCACTTACCAGCAGTTCCAGCTGCCATCTGTCTCACTGGGGTGCTGCCTGCACAGTGCAGGGCTGGGTGACAGCCCCAGCAGACGAAGCCTGGGCTCTGCTGCCCCCATTGCCCTGCACTGCATGGGGAAGCTCTGCCAGGAGGCTCTGGAGCCCCCACAGCCTCTGCTCCTGGGGTGAAAAGAGGCTTTTTTAAATGCCAGAGGCTGGGGTGGGAGGGGGGAAGCCATG